GGGGGGGGGGGGGGGGGGGGGGGGAGAGAAACGCTGGCGAGACCCTAACCAAGCGTTTCGGGAAATGGACAGGAGGGGGGAAAAGGGGCGCGCGTGGCTTTTTTCTAGAATATTAAAAAGGGGGAGGGGGTCGCGTGGAAGGAGGGGAAAAGAAAGATCGAGGATGGGGAGGGGGGGCTTCTCTCCTAACCACCACCACCACCCCCATCCCTGCCCTACTCAGCACGTGCCAACCGGGGCAAGGGGGACTACTCACTACCGGTGCTCCACTGATTTCCCGGTCGGGTGTGGGTGTGGGAGTGGGTGAGCGTAGAGCAAAAAAAGAGAGGGGGGGCTGGCGACGGCGTTACCTCCGCTTGCAAGAGGGGAAGCCATCCAGCGTGAAGGTCACCGCCACTGCCGCATGCCGGAGCAGGGGAAGGCGCCGGCCGAGCAGCGAATGCAGGGCGGCGCTGCCGAAGAATGAGAGGATGGAGGGAGAGGGGAGGAGGAGGAAGAGAAGAAGGGGCGACGGGCGTTTATTAAAAGCGGGGAGGGGGGAAAAACCAGGGACTTGCGCTGCCAGGTTTCCCCCGCCGGGAAAAGAAAGCGGGGAGAGGGATGGTGGGGAAAACTCGTGTGGGGGAGAAGACCGTTCCGACGAGCAAGACGCGCAGCAGAGGGGAGGCAGGCTCGCGCAACCACGCGCATCCACACACCCCTTACACACCGACTACACACTGCGGAAAAGGCTGCGACGGAGGGGCTCTGCGTTTCCCGCATATTTAAACCGGAGGGTTAGAGGCTGGGGAAACGGGAGGGAGTCCCGGGCTATGTCTCCCCCCCCCCTTATAGCCCCGAGACCCCCTCCCCCTCCTTTAGGGGGGGGGTCTCGCCCATATTACGCCCGGACAGCTGAGAAAGCTGGTGCCAGCCAGAGCCAGACAACAGACCACGACCTCCCCTCCGGTCCGTTTCTGTGGGTGGGGGGAAACCTATTGGAACCCGGTCCTGCTGCCCCCCTCAAAAATTGGGGGGCAGTGCCCTAAAGGACGAGTGAGCGGAAGCGGGGGGGGGGGATTTTGCAAGGTGAATGGACCGGGAGCTGTCTCTTTCTTTCGTCTCTGCCGCCGAACCGGGATCTAATCCAATCGCTTGGTCCATCATTCTTGTCGGGGGGGAGGGGAAAATAGGCAAACG